TTACCTATTCTTCATCTGAGGAAGGCTCTGCTCTGACAATTGCTGTCAAGAGGCTATCTGCTTGCTAGACAAATATAAAGAAAGCTTCGGGCCTGATCCTTTTTGTCTCAGATCTGCCTAACTTTGACAGGGAAAGTCTAAGCCACAAAACTGAGGTCTCCAGGTTTACTCTGGATTCACCATGGAATTCTCATAGAAGGATTTGAACAAACTGCACCTAGAGTGCCATCTCTGCTATGAAACTAACCTAAGACGTTACGCACATTTGTATGTATACAGACGCTCCCTGGGTTACGCAAACCCGACTTACGCAAATCCGAATTTACGGAGAAAGTTTTTTTTTTTTTTTTTTTTTTTTTTTGCTTAATGGTCAGGTATACGTTCCTGACTTACACAAGATTCGAGTTATGCAAGGCGTTCCTTGCGTAAGTTGTGGAGCATCTGTATTGATCTCTTAACTATGTATAACTCTCTTTCTTTTTTCTTTTATTAATAAATCTTGGGTTTAGCTAATAAGGATTGGCTGTAAGCCTGTATTTGGGTGAGATCTGAAATATTCATTGACCTGGTGGGCAATGTGTCCAGTGTTTTGGGATTGGTAGAACTTCAAGTATGGTGAATAAACTTTTCAGTAATCTTTCACTATATTAGACTTGGCTGTCTGGATGGGAGTCGAAGGCTGGATTACTTAAAGAGGACTGTGTTTTGGCTTCTTGGTAGCCAGTGTGATATTACAGAAGCTGTTTAGGCTACTGACTTGTTGATTCTAATTATAGAATAAACCACCAGTTTTGGGGATTGTCTGCCCTATTTCTTGCAGTTTGCCCTGAGTAAGCATTCTCAGGGTAGCCCCTCAAGGCACCACCATCACACTCACTTAAAGCACGGATACAGTATTGCTGCAAAGATGGAGAAACAAATTCAGCTGTGGTATAAGCAGATGCAACTTCCATTTAAATCAGTAGGGTTTACATTTGCTTATGGCAGGGCTGAGTTTCACTTTTAGCTATCTCAGGTTGAGTCTGAAGACTTACTCTCAAAGCAGCTGTGATAATAGCAGCCTCAACAGAAACTCTTTCTGGATCTTCTTTGCAAACAAGACATAGACATAGGTGCTGGAACAGGTTTGACGTGGTTTTCGTTATATACAGGGTTTACAGTTTGGTTCAATGGCTCTCAGCACCCCCACTATAAAAATTGTTCCAGCACCTCTGGGCATAGAAGACTGTGCTATATCCACTACAGGGATGACTTGGCTCAAAGATGCTGCGCTGTCACCGAGTGGTATTCTCATAAATATGGTGGGATTCTAGAACATCCACGAATCTTGCAGTAAGAGACATGGGGGGATGGCTTAGTGCTCCCTATCTGATTTGGTCCACTGAGCTGTGACGTAGAGCTTGCATTTGCTCGATTGAGCAGATCAGTATAAATGGTGTAGAATTCCATTGTGAACTTATGGTTTATAGCTAATAGTCAGTAGCATGAAGCTAACTTAGATTATAGCTGGCTGCTGGCCTAGATAAAGTGGTGAAATAGCCACAGGTACTGTGGAAATATTCTCTCTCACAGCATTAGGTCTACTGGATGGCACAAGTTACCTCAGAACTGAGGGGGTGAGTGACTGAGTCTGGATTAGTGTCCATCATTACCTGCTGAGGCCACTCTGAACTGGCCCATTGCTCCCCTGTCCCACATGACAGCAGAAAAAGGCAAAACTTGAGTGGCAGCCATAGTATGCTCCATCCCTTCTCTCAAACCCAGGGCTGGGAGGCTTGCTCCCAAATGCAGTGTTGACACATCCACAGAGATCAAACTTTCCAGCATTGTAGACTTTGTAGGAGGTATTCCAGAGGTGGAAGTGGGAAACAGCCATTTGCTGAGAAGTGCTCCTGCAGTGAGCCAACAGAGTTCCTGGTGGAAATCAGCTCAGAAATGAATGCTTGTCCAAGTATTACTTCCCTGCCATACTTCCTACATACTCATTAGACAGGGAAGGAAAGCCAATGGCAGAATGGCTACTCTGGGGGGCTGGGTTGCCATGAGACAGAGAAAACCAGGGTCTCCAGAGATAGAGTGTCATTTCCCTGTGTGCACTGCTGGGCTACCAGACTGCGCCACTTATTCCCCCTCTACAGGGTCTAAAACCTCTCTCCCTTGAGGGAAGGGTGTAGTGGAAAATATGTGAGGAAATCTTTGCAGAGTTTCAAACATACCTTGTTCACTTCTGTGGCTTTTTCTTCAAGAAGGGGACAATCTGGCCAAAAGTATACTATGCAGAATCTTGAGGGATATACAAATCCACAATACTTTTAAGTGACAGCACTGTATGGCTCTCTAGACACTTGCACTGGTATGTAAGTAGTTGTGACACTGACATTGCAACGGATGCTGTATCTTCAGTGAACCGAGGCTTTTATGATTGACTGTTAGTAGAATCTAGCATTCTCTGTGGGCAATCAACCCTACAAATTCTGTCTTCTGATTAAACTTTGTAGACCCACCAGTTTTGATAACAGAGACTGAGGTAGAATACTGAGATCTATTATGGCTAGCCATATCAATCAATCCAATTTAATTTCCTCAGGGGACATGGACCATGCCTGGGATGATGGATTTTCTTGAAGATCTGATAAGCCTGCTTTGAGAGAACATCTCAAGGGCTTGTAGAGAACAGGCTATTATCAATACTGATGAATGTTTCCTTTCATCAAAAATTAAGGTCTCATTAGTAGTCCTTGTAGCAGCTGATGATGATAGATGCTTTCAACAGATGACCTTTTTTTTTTTTAGATCTACTTGGAGATACTGTCTGCTCTGATTATGAGTTGGCTGTTTTCAGTTGAAAGACTCATTGGCAAAATGTGGGTTACAGTTTTTTAATAGGATGTATTATCACAGCCCGTCTTATACCACTGCATTCACTAATGAGTCAGTGGTTGCAATTAAAAATGATATTTTAAAGTGATGGGCTCATGCCATCCAATCTTCTTCCAAAATTCAGGGGGATTCAGATCCAGGGTTTTGGCTCAGATCATTACAGAGCTCTAATATTTTATAGCGTTTAGCACAGCTGGTAAGATATTTCCTGTTGTAAACATGGCATGCAAAATTTCTGCTCAAGATTGAATATTTTTTCAAGCGAGTTTGAAAAAACAATTCATTTGTGAAGAAGTAAATAGCTGCTTCAGACCAGTGTTTCCTCTTCCAGATCAAAAAACTTTTCATTTATAACCTTTTTGGTGTGGGTGTCAAGCTATTTACACTGCTGCTTAATGTGGGAAATTGGATATATGCTAAGAAAATCTGATTCACTCTAAATTGCTTATGTTAAAATTGATTAGATGAAAACTCCATTTATAATGAAGAATTTCCAAAGTTTTACCACTTTGCAGTGGTGTGTTTCTCTTAGCTAATTGATTGATTGAATCTCTATTTCAGATATAAGAAAGTTATTGTTTTTGTTTTGTTTTTGCCAGAAACAATTTAACACCTGCCCTATTGCTTTTTGTTTGCCCTCTGATTTATAGACAGAATTAATTCTACTTGTTAATGCACATACTGAAAGTCAGCAGCATGTTGCAGCTCTTATTCAGATGTATAAAGTAAATTCAGAAAATAACTGTGCTTCCAAGCATAGATGAGAATGAAAGGTGACATGCCTGGAAGTTTCGCAGATGACGTCCAGGTTGCACAAAATGCAATTCTGGTTAGAGAGCCAAATCCTGTAAACTGCTCAAAGCCCAGTGTGGACAACTCTTGTGACTCTGTCATGAGTTTTGTCATATTTGGTGTCTTTCTTGATCTCTCAGCTCCTTGAATCATTTAATTAGGTGAGAAATTCAACTGTCATTCCAAAAAATAAGTTTCTAACCCTGATGCATAGAAGTTTTAAAAATGTGAAAGGTTCAGAAACCAGAAGTTAAGTGACATTAACCCAATATTTATTATTTTTAAAATATCTCATGATTTGACAATAGGATGACCAGATGCCCTGATATTAGGGACTTTGTCTTACATAGGACCTTGTTATCTTTCTCCCCTCCTCCCCCGTCCTGATTTTTTGCACTTGCTATCTTGCTGTCTATTTGAAAACAATCTCATGATTTTGTGGGGCCTGATTCGTGATTTTTTATTGTTTTGGGTTGTCTGACATTTAGCTGGCAGTTTGTCAAAAGTATATAGATTCTTTAGTTTTATTCAGATTTTGGTTGGAAGTTTTTAAGTTGCTTTTTTCTAAGTGTTCCTTATTGGGTTGGCTTATCTTCTTTAGAAATGCATTTTTCATACATGAGACAAGTTTTTTCCACTAACTCTTACACATTTTGCAAAGGTCCACATACTTCTAAGTTGGTACATAAACAAAAATAATAACAAGGGTTTTTAGCTTGGGCGTGTAATATTAATGAATGGGTTTTGTTGTGCACTTTAAAAATGTTAATATTATAATTCATAACCTGTATGATTTAAGACATGAAACTTTAAAACTTAAACTGTGTTTGCAAGAGCAGTATTGGAAAAGCAACATGATATAAGGAAGCCCAATGATCAGTCTCCCCCGCCCCCCAACATACTCTTTAAGGGTAGGTGCAATGTCATGCCTCCAATAGAGTACGTGTCTGTGTGCTGCACGGAGCAAGAACTGGCATTTGTGCACTGTTGGAACTCTATGGAGCTATAACAGGAGACAAAATAGGTAAACAATAGTGATGTGTTGAGATGCCACCTGCTCTTGTTTATTTGGGATATTTGGTAGGTTGAGCCTATGTTCACTGAACTCCTCGATAAGCACAGGAGCAGGTCTAAAAGAATAGAGCAGTAACGTTGTTTAAAATAAAATTTGCAGACTGCTTTAAAAGCGATGATATGTCTAACTGATGTCAGCCAATAGTTTGGTTACTGGAATGCTAACTGTTACACGTTCCTCTTTGTTGCTTGTTGCATGTACCTTCCATTCTTTTGGACAATGATTAATTGTTGTGTCCTTACTGAACTCCTAGGTGCAGAAGTGCTGTATATGAATATGACTGCTTATAATGAAGGTCGCCTTCAATCATCATTCTGGATTGTTGATAAACAGCATGTATATATTGGAAGTGCCAGCTTAGACTGGAGGTCATTGGGACAGGTAATTTTACTGATCAATGAAAAATCAGATATACTTTATACTTTTAATGTAGCTCTAAACCAAAGAAAACCATAGTAGAAAAATGTAACTTGCTTATTATTTTTAAATATATCACTTTCTTTGGGGTAAGAATAAATAGGTACAATATTGTGGCTATTTTGTCTATATGGAAGACTGTCTTTCTTGCTGTAAGTCATACTTCTTTGCACAGTGAAACCTGCCATTAACAGTCACTTAAGGGCAGCAGTTCCTCCTAGAAGAGGAGTAATTAAACCACAAGCACATTAAATCATATTGGAAATCTTGGAGTTACATTGCATCAAGTCTGCAGTCCTTACTCAGATAAAACTCCCACTGATTTCAGTGATGAATTTGACTGAGGAAAGAGTGCAGGTACAGGCCCATTCATAAAAAGTTGGAAGATCATCCGTTGGGATTCCCTTTTAGAGTTGATCCATAATGGAAGCTCCGCTGTAACATTTCGAGCATGAACCAATTTTGTTCGTTTCTCAAGTCTGCAAACTAGATACAGTAAAACTGAAATTGGGAAGTTCATTCCCAGATAGTGAGTCTGATTCTGAAAAAATTCAGCGTGTGGAGTTCCTGATGATTTCAGTGGAAGTTACATGCACAGAGGAATTATAGCATGAGACCCAGAGTTTGTATATGTGTTAGAGCCGAACAATAGAAAGCTTATAAATCAGCACCTCTTCATCAGTATATCAGTGCTGTGAACTCACTAATTTTGAGAGAGACTTTTTTTAAAATTATTTTGAAGAAGCAACATGTTATTTACGTAGCCAATCTGTGTTCTGAAGGTATCTGTAGTAAACTGTTTCTATAGTCCAGCTGTTAATGCAACTTGTTTTTAGTAGTCGTCTGTTGAAATCATAAAAAAGTAGTACATTTTTTTCTGTGTTAATGTGAGTTTTACATGCAAATTCCTGTGTGTCAAGAATAGCAAAAGTGCCAATATTGATTGTGTACCTTTGCCTTCTATTGGTGGAACCAGAATTGCTCAATTGTGCGTGATTGGTCCTGTACTTTTTAAAAGCTAATATAGATTTTCCTTCAGCTCAAGAGATAGGGGACTGCTTTTGGAGCTAGGTGGTCTGAATTTATCCCCACTGTCATCCTGGAGCTACAGGTAACCATGATGTGCAGCATGGTTTAAACCAGAGGTTCTCAAACTGTGGTCCATGGACCACCAGTGGTCCGTGAGCTCCATTCAGGTGGTCCGCGGATAGTTCCCTCTAATCTGCACACCTGGGCAGCCGCACACAAGAGAATGAAAGGCCACCCACCTAATTTGTGGAGCCGCGCAGGTGTGGCTCCACTAATTAGGTGCCCGGACCCTGGAGAAGACGCACATGTAAGGTGAGGTGGTGCCCTTGGGGGGAATAGGGGGTAGGTGGGAGGGGGCAGTGGGGTGAGAAGTGGGAGTGGGGGGAATGTACAGGGCTGCAGTGGCCAGAGAAAGAGGTGACTTTCCCCAGCTCCAGGGCTGTGGTTGCCAGGGAGGGACGGCCCTCCTTCCCAGCCTCAGCTCTGTGGCTGCTGTGGCGGGGGAGAGACACCCCCTCCTTCCCAGCCCTAGCTCCAGGGCTGCCACGGCAGGGGAGAGACATTAGGAAGGTAAGACTACTGATATTAAAATATGAGTTGTGTGCTTTTATTTGTAGAACAAAAAAAGTTGTTTATTACTTTTTTTTTTAATATAGCGCTTTTATCCAAAGTGCTTTATAATAGTTAACTAACGGTACAAACAACATTTGGAAAGATCATTAAGTGGTCTGCAGAGACCCTCAGCAATCTGCAAGTGGTCCGCGGAAAAAAAAGTTTGAGAACCAGTGGTTTAAACCACAAAGTCCTAGATGGCCATAGATGAGTTATAATAAAATAACTTGCTTTCTAAATATATGAGAGCTTTGCAAATATGTTACTAATTATGGGCATAGTGTGTAACAATATTTGTACGTAAGATTGACTAAACAGTTCATGCTGAAATTTTCCAGGCTTGTTTTGATCTAAGGGGTTGAATGTTTGAACAAAAATAGCTCAGCCACTTGAGTAACAAGAGAGTGAAGTAAATATACTTTTACCATTATAAAAAAAATGTTTGTAACCTTTATTTTTAAAACAATTATAGTGCATCACAAGTTTGTGGTAGAAACCTTGCCAGAGGCTTAATTCCTAGATTGCAGATCTGTCTTTTGGTGACCCAGTGAAAATTCCAGCCTTGGGGCTGTTGTAAATTATGCCAGCTGGGAACGGCCCCCCTATGGGCTGTCATACTGCTTGGGATTACTGATGTGCAGTGTGCTGGCCATGCTACCAGCATGCCCATATACACATGGGAGCCTAGACAAATCCTACAAGATGTGGAATGTGAAAAAAAGGATGCGTCTGGGTCAAGGATCTGGCCCTCTATCCTTTTGGATCCCACCGGTTGTGTAGTCTAAGAAAACACAAGGAAAGAATTCAGGAGCAAACAGAGACTGGCATCTTTCTGGAATCTTCTTTGGAATTAACAAAGGATTAGCTTTTTGACTTATATTGATTGGAGAGATTATATGAACTGCCTCTGAAAGGGTAACTTTGTTGAGCTATTCTAAATGAGGTAAGGAAGCTGAATATTTTTCTGAATTGTTCATGTTTATCATTTCTGTATGTAGTATAAAGCAATAGGACAAGTTATTCCTCTGTCATAAGCAAAATAATTCAGATCTGTTCACAGCAATAGTTACATAGTTAATTATATAGTTTTAACTATGAGGGACCCGCCAAATGTGAATAACAGTCAAAACATTGAACATAGAAAAGGAGCATATTTATTACTCAGTATAGCTGAAGTTGTCAAAGTGACATTGTCAGTGACTTCCATCACAGACACCACAATCCCCTGTCTGATCAGACTGATCACAGTGAAGTAATCCAAGTTCCTGTGAAAATTCAGATTATAGTTTGTGTTTTTGGTTTTTTTTTTAATGGCTTGGCTGGAGTCAGATTTATGTGGGTCTGTGTTTCAAACACGTTCTCTGACTGTTCATCTTACCATGTGCTTTCTAGAGACATATGGAGAGTTTGCCATCCTATTAAATAGGATGTTGTCAGAAAGTCCAGTATTTTTACAGAGCAAAGACATACAGCAGAAATTTTCTCTTGATTAAAAATATTTGTCTGGTCTCATTTAGGAAAGTTAAGAAATATAGACTGGGATTTCTGTGGGGCCTCAGGGAATCAGATGTCTAACTCCCATTGATTTTCAGTGAGACTTGGGCATCTAACACGCTTAGGATCCTTTAAAACGTCCAGCCATAGTTAATAAGGCCTGCTCTTAAAGGGACACATTGCTGTTTTAGGATTGCATTCTCTCCTGGCAGGGGAAAACCCACATGAGGGGGAAATAAGCAGACAACTTCAATGTTAATTTCTCTGCATGCTTCTGTGACGTTATTGACATAAACTGGGACCATATAGATCATTGTTGCAACCAAGGTCCTGTAGTGGCACCCAAATCTTGTATAAAGGGGGTCAAATGGGGTGTCTAAGACAAGGTTATGGTTTACTGGTTATTATTATGCTGTCTATATGTGTGTATCAGTTTTGTAGTTATGAATATTGGCTCTATACTGTCTGTATGGCAAACTTATGCTATGCTTCTGGGTGACATCCCAGACAAGCTGGGATTAGCTCTGCCTAGCCTGCTTGATGGCCCATTAAGGACCATCAGCTATACAATGGACCCATTGAGAGAAGGCCAATATGCCTTCAGACTCAGCAAAGTATGCAGGGACTGGCCCATGTGACTCCAGGCTCCATTTTGCTGTAATTTTCCACAGTAAGAACAAAGAGGTGTTCTTACACCTGGAAAAGACTATATAAGGCTGATGCCTCATCTCCATTTGGTCTTCAGTCCTGCTTCATACCTCTGGAGGAACTTTGCTACAAGCTGAAGCTTTGAACAAAGGACTGAGGACCCATCCCAGCGGGGGATGTATTCCAGAGACTTGATTTGAACCTGCAGTTTATTCTATCGCTGCTGCAAGCCTGAACCAAGAACTTTGCCATTACTGTATGTAATTGATTCCATTTAACCAATTCTAACTCTCATCTCTATCTTTTTCCTTTTATGAATAAACCTTTAGATTTTAGATTCTAAAGGATTGGCAACAGCGTGATTTGTGGGTAAGATCTGATTTGTATATTGACCTGGGTCTGGGGCTTGGTCATTTGGGATCAGGAGAACCTTTTTCTTTTACTTGGGTATTGGTTTTCATAACCATTTGTCCCCATAACGAGTGGCACTGGTGGTAATACTGGGAAACTGGAGTGTCTAAGGAGATTGCTTGTGAGACTTGCGGTTAGCCAGTGGGGTGAGACCGAAGTCCTCTTAGTCTGGCTGGTTTGGTTTGCCTTAGAGGTGGAAAAAACCCCAGCCTTGGGCTGTAACTGCCCTGTTTGAGCAATTTGTCCTGAGTTGGCACTCTCAGTTGGGTTCCGCCAGAACCGCATTGTCACAGCTTCCTTTAAGGAGAAGGCTCTGGAGATTTGTGGAGGAGACAGGGAATGAGACTAGGATACCTGGTTCCCTACATAGATCCCAGGGTAGTGCCGGTCAGGGACTCAATCCCCTTTCCCTGCCACCTGCATCTTATCTCCTGGGTATGTAGGTGAGATAATGCTGATATTGGCTAGTAATATCTCCTGCATAGAGTTTAATTGGGAAATCTGCTCATGTTAGAATGGAGATGACTGCCAAAAGCAGCCCCCTTCCCACACTGGCACATCCCCACAGACCTGCAGAGACATGACTATGTGGAGTAGGTGAAGTGGGACTTCTGCAGTTAAAAACTCATTATACTTTTGAGCAGCATCTATATGGTTTCTGCACCATCACAACACTTTAAGGTATGCAGGGCGACTGATTTAATTAGCCTCTTCCACCCCTTCCAACAAATCAAAGGATCAAATGAAAAGTGTCTGTTGTTCTGAGGGCA